CTCATACACACACGTGGGCACGCGCATATACACACACACACACGTGCACACGCTCATACACACACGTGGGCACGCGCATACACACACACACGCACACGTGCACACGCTCATACACACGCGTGGGCACGCGCATATACACACACACGTGCACACGTGCACACGCTCATACACACACGTGGGCACGCGCATACACACACACACACGTGCACACGTGCACACGCTCATACACACGCGTGGGCACGCGCATATACACACACACACGTGCACACGTGCACACGCTCATACACACACGTGGGCACGCGCATACACACACACACACGTGCACACGTGCACACGCTCATACACACGCGTGGGCACGCGCATATATACACACACACGTGCACACGTGCACACGCTCATACACACGCGTGGGCACGCGCATATACACACACACGTGCCCACGTATATGCATACACGCGTTCGCACATATGCTCATGAACCCACGCACGGATAGACCGTATAGCCTTAACAGACTGTTGGAGCAAGTGCTGTTTGCGAGCTCCTATGATGAAGGCCGGCACGGCACACAGAGGGGTGGGTGGCCAACACCCGGCCGCCTTTGTCTCCCCAGCGCTGATGTTTTACACACTGCCCCAAGACACGCATATAAGGCTGAGTCAACCTAGGGGAGCTCGGGACCGGTTCAGAAATTTGTCACTGATTCGCCAGGGTTGTAGAGCAGTGCGCAAACCACTACACTACCACATACACACACCACCACCACATACACACAAAGCAAATACAACAATCCCCTATAACGCCTTAAAAAAACTGCCAGGAAAAGTGTTGTTAGCGAACACCTATTAAGGATGGGTCGGCACACGAAGAGGTGGGTGGCCAGCACCACGCCGAACCAGTCCTGGGCCTCTCCTAGGTCTACTCAGCCTCAAATGAGTACATGGTGGGATGTGTAAACATCGCCACAGACACACACAGTTACACTTACATGCATACATTAACACACAGGGATAGACAGCAATACACACACTTACACGTGTACACACGCACGGGTGCACACATTGACAAAGTGCACACTAATATACGCATACACACGTGCGCACACATGCAAGGGTGCACACGCACGCACGTTCACCCCAAGATACAAGCAACCGACATTACGTGTGCGCACACTTACACACACATAGGTGTAGGCAGGCATAAACATACAAAGATCCATATAACCTTGTACAGATTGTTGGAGCAAGCGCTGCATAGCGTAGGTGGGTGGCCAGAACCACGTCCGAACTCCTTTGTGTCCCCAGGCGCGATGGTTACACACCGCCACAGGTAATCATTTGAGGCTTAGTCGACATAGGGAGGCCCATGACTGGATTCAGATATTCGTAACTGGTGTTTGTAGCCGTGAGTGGGAAGGCAGCTGGGGTCGCCGAGTTCGTAGCGCAGCGCGATAGCCACTACACTGCCGTCCCCACACACGCACACACAGACTCACACACACACACGTACACAGACTCGCACATACACGCCCACAGACTCACACACACACACACAGACTCACACACACACAGACTCACACACACACAGACTCACACACGCACACAGACTGGCACACACACAGACTCGCACACAGACTCGCACACAGACTCGCACACAGACTCGCACACAGACTCACACGCACACACAGACTCACACACGCACACAGACTGGCACACACACAGACTCGCACACAGACTCGCACACAGACTCACACGCGCACACAGACTCACCACACACACGCACACAGACTCGCCCACACACGCACACAGACTCACACTCACACAGATTCACACACACAGACACACACACACAGACAGACTCACACACACACACAGACTCACACAGACTCGCACACACAGACAAAAACAAAGATCCCCCATATAGCCTTAACAGACTGTAGGGGCAAGTGCTGTTATAGCGAGCACCTATGAAGGCCGGAACGGTACACGAGGGGGTGGGTGGCCAGCACCACGCCCGACCGCCTTTGTCTCCCTAGCGGCGATGTTTACACACCGCACCAGGTACTCATTTGAGGCTGAGTCGACCTACGCACACAGACTCACACACAGACTCACACACAGACTCACACACACACACACAGACTCACACACACACAGATTCACACACAGACTCCCACATACACAGACTCACACACACACACAGACTCACACACACACAGACTCACACACACACAGACTCACACACACACAGACTCACACACACACACAGACTCACACACACACAGACTCACTCACACACAGACTCACACACACACAGACTCACACACACACAGACTCACACACACAGACTCACACACACACAGACTCACACACACACAGACTCACTCAACAACAACAACAACCGCCATTCGCCACTAAGTGGCGGTGACGTCACCACGATGCTTGTGCCAGGCCAAGTGCACCTTGAGGCCACGTGAAGTGTCGAAAGCCCGCTGGCAGGAGGTCACGGGGCAGACCCAGGTGCCACTGGTCGACTGACCGAGATGACCGAGATGACTGGCTGATGCACCACCTGTGCCCCCTACTGTGCCAACTTGCTGTGCTTTAGCCACCCGGCGCTCCGCTCGTTGTTGTGAGCGTCGCTCCTCCGCCCTCCGTTGTTGTTGGAGGGCGACTGCCTCCAACTGCCCAGTAGCGTCCTTCACGAGCCTCCTCCACTGAGGCCGATTTTGACACCGCTGGTACCAGTCATCGGCAAGTCCACTCAGCTCCACGTCCTCCTGTACCACATCACTCCATCTCTTCTCCAGCCCGTGCCGCGCCCGTCTAGCCCCCTCGATCCGGCCGAACAAAAGCTGTTTAGGCATGCGGTGGCTGGGCATGCGGGCTACATGACCCAGCCAACGCAGCCTTGCCTGCCGGAGGAGCTCACTGATGGGACTTTGCCCAGATCTTTCAAGGATTTGTGAGCTCCTCACACAATCCAGCCTGGTTAAACCCAGGATGGATCATAGGCAGGCCAGCCTAAATGTTTCCAACCGGCGAAGATGCTCCACCAGGGGGGTCCACGTCTCACACACACACAGACTCACACACACACAGACTCACACACACACAGACTCACACACAGACTCACACACAGACTCACACACACAGACTCACACATACACAGACTTACACACACACACGCGCGTGACCGTGACTCGAGTTCACGGCGGAGACTGACGAGGTGACGTCACCTCGTCGAGCGCAAGCAGCTGTGGATTTGACTGTCGCTGATAAAACACCGAATGTTAAAACCGCTCACCTCCCCCCCCACTCACTCACCCCCCCGGCATCCCCTGGGAAGGGGGCTGGGGCAGGGGGGGCTGTGTCACTTCGAAAGCCGACACAGAGACAGAAAATCAACGGAAACAATCACCTGGGTTCCAAGTCGCGTCTCTCCCCGACGAGCAGGTGACGCTGATGCGGCCCTCACTCGGAACCATCGATCGGATGGATTAGAAAATGGGCAGCTCGTCCTCTCGATCGAGCTTATCACCCCCTTCATCCCTTTCATCCCCATCATCCCCATCATCCCCCTCACCCTGATCATCCCGTCATCGCCTCATCCCCCTCATCCCTATTATACCATCGTCTCGTTACCCCCCTCATCCCTATCAACCCCTCATCCAACGGCGGCCGGGTCTCTGTGTAAGGTGAATATTACATGGGTCTCTATGCACGTCTAGGTCTCTGGGTCTCTGTGTAAGGTGAATATTACATGGGTGTCTATGCACGTCTAGGTCTATGTGTCTCTGTGTAAGGTGAATATTACACGGGTCTCTATGTACGTCTAGGTCTCTGGGTCTCTGTGTAAGGTGTATATTACATGGGTCTCTATGCACGTCTAGGTCTCTGGGTCTCTGTGTAAGGTGTATATTACACGGGTCTCTATGCACGTCTAGGTCTCTGGGTCTCTGTGTAAGGTGTATATTACATGGGTCTCTATGCACGTCTAGGTCTCTGGGTCTCTGTGTAAGGTGTATATTACACGGGTCTCTATGCACGTCTAGGTCTCTGGGTCTCTGTGTAAGGTGTATATTACATGGGTCTCTATACACGTCTAGGTCTCTGGGTCTCTGTGTAAGGTGTATATTACATGGGTCTCTATACACGTCTAGGTCTCTGGGTCTCTGTGTAAGGTGTATATTACACGGGTGTCTATGCACGTCTAGGTCTCTGGGTCTCTGTGTAAGGTGTATATTACATGGGTGTCTATGCACGTCTAGGTCTCTGGGTCTCTGTGTAAGGTGTATATTACACGGGTGTCTATGCACGTCTAGGTCTATGTGTCTCTGTGTAAGGTGTATATTACATGGGTCTCTATGCACGTCTAGGTCTCTGGGTCTCTGTGTAAGGTGAATATTACATGGGTGTCTATGCACGTCTAGGTCTCTGGGTCTCCGTGTAAGGTGTATATTACATGGGTTTCTATGCACGTCTAGGTCTCTGTGTCTCTGTGTAAGGTGCATATTACATGGCTGTCTATGCACGTCTAGGTCTATGAGTCTCCGTGTAAGGTGTATATTACACGGGTCTCTATGCATGTCTGTGGCTTGCTGTATAGGTCTCTTGATCTCTGTGTAAATCAATGAAATGCATCAACCCCCTGAAGTTGCAACGCGCGTGCGTGCGCCTCTCCGGAGCCTGGATTCGAACTCGCAACCCTCTCGCCTTTGCCTCGCTCAGCATCTCTGTTGTCGACCGAGTCGAAGCTTCAAATCGAGATTCAAAGCCGAGGCCCTCCACGGAGCCACCACCATGCGAGTAGCCGCCTCGATCATCGACCGACCGGCCGAGTGCGTGAGTGAGTGACTGGCATCGTCCCGAGCCATCGACCGACTGAGCGACCAGCTCGCCGTTTGACTCACTCGCTGTTCGTGTCATTCATTTATCGATTAGAGGTGGAAGGGGGGCTGGAGGAGGAGGGGGGGCGGTCGATCAATCGATTTCTCCACTCACCCTGCATCTGGGGTTGAGGCTGCGCGTTGAAGGCGGTGTGAGCCCCCAGGGAGGCGCGGGGGGCCGCGGGGTGCGCCCCCCCTCCGGCGTGTGGGGGTACCCGCATCCCCGAGCGGCGGAACTGTTCCAACTCGCACAGACGTTCTGGGAACATTGCCGCGCCAGCCTTCACGGGGTCCTCCAGCCTCTGTCTGTGTCCTGGTATGACACGTGTGGGGGGGGGGGGGGGTACGGATGAGGGGGTAGGGGGGGCACCATCACAACTTGCGTTAAATTATGGGAGTGGGGGAGGGGGCGTTGTGTTTGGGAAAAAGAGAGCGGTGGGCGAAGTGATTGGCGTCGGAACCATCAGCAGCGGTGGCTGAGATGTTAACTCCCTCGCCTGGTCTGCAGGAGGTCTCGTGGGTTCGATCCAGAGCCGGACGCCTGCTGCTGTATATTTGGAGTTTGCGTGTCTCTCTCTCTCATCATCATCACGGTGGCTAGGAGATGTTAACTACCTCGCCTGGTATACAGGAGGTCGTGGGTTCGATCCCGACCCTGACGCCTGCTGCTGTATATTTGTAGTCTGCGTGTCTCTCTCTCATCATCATCACGGAGGCTAGGAGATGTTAACTCCCTCGCCTGGTACGCAGGAGGTCGTGGGTTCGATCTCGAGCCTGACGCCTGCTGCTGTATATTTGGAGTTTGCGTGTCTCTCCCTCTCTCTCTCCCCGTGGTCGCGTGGATTTTTCTCCGTGATCTCCGTCTTTCCCCTCCACATTTATAATCAACATCACGCGTTTAGAGCCTTTGGCTGCTGTACATGTCCACGTGATGAGCCACTTCGTTGAGCTACGATTTGTGGCCGGGTATCTAACCTATATAGTAGCTCAGCGGGCCTTGAAATCCAAAATATTTTCATGGGTTCGTTTCAGAAGTTCTGAGAACGGCTCTTCTCATCCGGCGACCCGAGCTCGACTCCCGCTCACAGCCAACATCAGTGGCGATTATCTTAACCGGTCCCGGGCCTCCCCTAGGTAGGCTCAGCCATGAATGAGTACCTGGCGCGGTGTGTATGAACACAGACATTGGTGAGACAAAGGCGGCAAGCGTGGGGCTGGCCACGCCACCACTCCCTCGTGTGCCTTACCGGTCTTCATCGGCGCTACATGCTAGCAGCTCTTGCCCCAACAGTCTGTGTGGGCTACATGGGCTGGCGATCCTTTGTCTATGCACGTTGGGTGGCGTTGGCACACCGAGTGTGCACGTATAACTTCTTTTGCACCGTACGTAGCCAACCGCGCTAATCGTAGGTGCGAGATGAAGAGTTCATTGGCCACTGCAGAGCGACACGGCGCGTTCTCGTCGTGTATTCTGCGTCGGCTACTGCTGCGTAATAAACGCTGCTCTGTACGTACAGGGGGGTGCGGCGGAGGGGGGCTGCGAGGGGGGTGGTGAGGGGTTGGGGGGGGTAACAGTTCTGGGGGAGGGGGGTGTTGTAAGGGGGGGGGGGTGGAGGGTGGGGGGGTGATTAGGACCTGAGAATGGGATGCTGAGACGCAGCAGCGGCAGGAGGGGGGGTTATGAAGAGTGGGGGACTGTTCAGGCGAGGAGGAGGCTCGGAGTGTTGGGTGAGGGGGGGAGGTGGGGGGGAGGGAGGGGAAGGTGGGAGGGGGGGAGGTGGGAGGGGGGGAGGTGGGAGGAGGGGAAGGTGAGGGGGGGAGGTGGGAGGGGGGGGAAGGTGAGGGGGGAGGGGGGCTGGCGCGGAGCCACCAGGAGTCGCCCGCACGCACCGCGCGAAACCGTCCCAAGTCACGCGAGCCCCACCCCTCGCTCCCCCCCAACATCGCCCACTCCCCCCGCCCCTCACACATCTCCGACACGAACACGTTCACTCACTCACGAGCAAACGTCCTCGTTCACCAACACGCTCACCAACACGCTCACAACACACTCACCAACGCACTCACCAACGCGCTCACCAACACGCTCACCAACACGCTCACCAACACGCTCACCAACGCGCTCACCAAGGCGCTCACCAACGCGCTCACCAACACGTTCACCAACACGCTCACCAACACGCTCACCAACACACTCACCAACACACTCACCCACACGCTCACCAACACACTGACCAACACGCTCACCAACGCGCTCACCAACGCGCTCACCAACACGCTCATCCACACGCTCACCAACACGCTCACCAACACGCTCACCAACGCGCTCACCAACACGCTCACCAACACGTTCACCAACACGCTCACCAACACGCTCATCCACACGCTCACCAACACGCTCACCAACACACTCATCCACGCGCTCACCAACACGTTCACCAACACGTTCACCAACGCGCTCACCAACGCGCTCACCAACACGTTCACCAACACGCTCACCAACACACTCATCCACGCGCTCACCAACGCGCTCACCAACACGTTCACCAACACGCTCACCAACACGCTCACCAACACGCTCACAACACGCTCACCAACACGCTCACCAACACGCTCATCCACACGCTCACCAACACGCTCACCAACACGCTCATCCACACGCTCACCAACACGCTCACCAGCACGCTCATCCACACGCTCACCAACACGCTCACCAACACGTTCACCAACACGCTCACCAACACGCTCATCCACACGCTCACCAACACGCTCACCAACACACTCATCCACGCGCTCACCAACACGTTCACCAACACGTTCACCAACGCGCTCACCAACGCGCTCACCAACACGTTCACCAACACGCTCACCAACACACTCATCCACGCGCTCACCAACGCGCTCACCAACACGTTCACCAACACGCTCACCAACACGCTCACCAACACGCTCACAACACGCTCACCAACACGCTCACCAACACGCTCATCCACACGCTCACCAACACGCTCACCAACACGCTCATCCACACGCTCACCAACACGCTCACCAGCACGCTCATCCACACGCTCACCAACACGCTCACCAACACGTTCACCAACACGCTCACCAACACGCTCATCCACACGCTCACCAACACGCTCACCAACACGCTCACCAACACGCTCATCCACACGCTCACCAACACGCTCACCAACACGTTCACCAACACGCTCACCAACACGCTCATCCACACGCTCACCAACACGCTCACCAACACGCTCACCAGCACGCTCATCCACACGCTCACCAACACGCTCACCAACACGTTCACCAACACGCTCACCAACACGCTCATCCACACGCTCACCAACACGCTCACCAACACACTCATCCACGCGCTCACCAACACGTTCACCAACGCGTTCACCAACGCGCTCACCAACGCGCTCACCAACACGTTCACCAACACGCTCACCAACACACTCATCCACGCGCTCACCAACGCGCTCACCAACACGTTCACCAACACGCTCACCAACACGCTCACCAACACGCTCACAACACGCTCACCAACACGCTCACCAACACGCTCATCCACACGCTCACCAACACGCTCACCAACACGCTCATCCACACGCTCACCAACACGCTCACCAGCACGCTCATCCACACGCTCACCAACACGCTCACCAACACGTTCACCAACACGCTCACCAACACGCTCATCCACACGCTCACCAACACGCTCACCAACACGCTCACCAACACGCTCATCCACACGCTCACCAACACGCTCACCAACACGTTCACCAACACGCTCACCAACACGCTCATCCACACGCTCACCAACACGCTCACCAACACGCTCACCAGCACGCTCATCCACACGCTCACCAACACGCTCACCAACACGTTCACCAACACGCTCACCAACACGCTCATCCACACGCTCACCAACACGCTCACCAACACGCTCACCAACACGCTCATCCACACGCTCACCAACACGCTCACCAACACGCTCACACAGTCGTTCCAAATCACGCGCTCACCGACTCACTAGCTCACTACTAACCTCCACACTCACTCAACAACAACATCAACCCGCCACTCATCACTTAGACACGACGTCACGGCAACTCTTTCCGTCAGACGAGGTGAACTTTGAGACCGTCACGTGACGTCTGGAAGGATTTCGCTGCTGATCGGCAGTCACGCGTCGGACCCAGCAGGTGCCATGGGTTGACTGACTGAGATGAATGGAAGATGCCCCATCCGTACTGCCCACTGTGCCAACTCCCTGCATTTTACCGGCGCTCCACGCATTGTTGTGAGCATCGCTCATCCGCCCTCCGCTGTTATTGGAAGGCGACAGCCTCTAACTGCCAGTAGCAGCATCCTTCACGAGCCTCCTCCTCCACAGAGGCCGATCTTGACACTGCTGGTACCGGTCATCGGCAAGTCCACTCAGCTCCCGTATCGCATCAATCAGTGACCCCCTCCAGCCGCTAGAGGCCGATACATTGACCAGTGTTAAACATTCGTCTATTTTATATTCTTCAAATCTTACAATATGCCGCTTCTAGAATGAAGCAGAAGATTGGTGCTGAATACAGCCACACGTGTAACTTTGATCATTACTCGTGTATCGATAGTTTTATTTTAACGTGAAATTCTATTGAGGGACTACTTTGTGTGGTCTTACTGTGGTCTGGGACTGTCTTGTTGTTTTGCTGCCTTGCTCCAAGCTTGCATTTCGTGTTAAAACATCGGCCTGAATGTATGTCCTCATACAATTTGTACGTTACATATTTACTTCGTTATTACATCTTCGTAACTTTCTTACCCGCCCCTACTGGATATCTGTGTAAAAAAGCTTTATAGCTCATCGCATTCCTTAAGTCTACATGAAGATTCTGATTCTGAATGGGCTGGCGGTTTGGTTGTGCCGATACAACCTCTTGTGAGACGGTGATCGCGTTGCATTGAATACGGGTCATTGCCCGAAACGTCGCCTATGTAATTTTTCTTTGTATAGTTTATAATGTCAAGGCTATATGGGGTAGTGTGTAGGTGAGTGTGTCGGTGTGTAGGTGAGTGTGTAGGCGTGCGTGTAGGTGAGTTTGTAGGTGAGTGTGTAGGCGAGTGTGTAGGAGAGTGTGTAGGTGAGTGTGTGTAGGTAAGTGTGTTCGTGTGCAGGTGAGTGTGTAGGTGTGTAGGTGAGTGTGTAGGTGAGTGTGTGTAGGTGTGTAAGGTGAGTGTGTAGGTGAGTGTGTAGGTGTGTAATGTGAGTGTGTAGGTGAGTGTGTAGGTGAGTGTGTAGGAGTGTAG